AAATGTGGGGGTTTGCTGTAAGAGAGAAATGGGGTGGTAGCAAGATCGGCATTTGGTGGAACGATCAACTAGTTTTTTTAAAATATTCAAATATTTATAGGCTAATGGAAATCATCACTCAAAAGTGAAAGAAAAACCCAGTATGTAAAAATATATATGAATATAAAAATACATACACACACATACATCCCCTTTTCTCTTGCCAAACTATTTATGTTAAAATTTGATTTTTAGCCGGGCGCGGTGGCTCAAGCCTGTAATCCCAGCACTTTGGGAGGCCGAGGCGGGTGGATCACGAGGTCAAGAGATCGAGACCATCCTGGTCAACATGGTGAAACCCCGTCTCTACTAAAAATACAAAACATTAGCTGGGCATAGTGGCGCTTGCCTGTAATCCCAGCTACTCAGGAGGCTGAGGCAGGAGAATTGCCTGAACCCAGGAGGCGGAGGTTGCGGTGAGCCGAGATCGCGCCATTGCACTCCAGCCTGGGTAACAAGAGCGAAACTCTGTCTCAAAAAAAAAAAAAAAAAATTTGATTTTTAGAACCTCCATCTCTTTCCAAATATTCAGAGCCCTTGCTCTCATGATCATATGTCCATTTTCTCTGGATATTTTGAAATCTGTGTCCAAGAGTTCCTGCCTTTGCCATTACGAATTCTAACATTACAGGACCCCTTTCACCCAAACTCCTGTTTTCACATCAATATCCTTCACTGTTTATGAGAATTCTTAAAAACCAGTTTCAGATTCATTAAAGGAACCATTATAGGCTTCATCCAACAAGATTACTTTTTTTAAACACAAAAACCTAAGATTCATTTTTTCAAGTTTTTTTGTATTCCTAAGCAAGTTAGCAAAAAAAAGGTTTACTATTTGGTAAAATTATTCTCTAAGGCTGTAACATCCCAGTCCTGAAAATTTCTTTCTTTTTTTTTTTGCCACGGAGTTTCGCTCTTGTTTCCCAGGCTCCAGTGTAATGGCGCGATCTCAGCTCACTGCAACCTCCGCCTCCTGGGTTCAGGCAATTCTCCTGCCTCAGCCTCCTGAGTAGCTGGGATTACAGGCACACGCCACCATGCCCAGCTAACTTTTTTTTTGTATTTTTTTTAGTAGAGACGGGGTTTCACCATGTTGACCAGGATGGTCTCGATCTCTTGACCTCGGGATCCACCCACCTCGGCCTCCCAAAGTGCTGGGATCACAGGCTTTAGCCACCGCACCGGGCCCCAATCCTGAAAATTTCTATACAAAGCAAGAAGTGGCTGATGCTAAATCCTTCCCCATCAGCACATCAGCATACATAATCACATCATCAACACAGGGCTTTCTCCTCTCCCAACCCCCACTCTGGGCTCAAACAAAAAGTTAGTGTGCACACACATAAAGCACATTTACAATGTCTGCTCCATAGCAGACCCTAGCTAGGCTGCTCTGCAAAGGTATTAAAATATTTTGCTTCCAGTTCTAAGCTTAGCATTTGAGTAAGAAATAAGAAAGCAATCGTGATCTGTGCATAAATACAAGACATGCTCCTTCAAAACTCCGTTTCTTTTTTTTTTTTTTTTTTTTTTTTTGAGACGGAGTTTCGCTCTTGTTTCCCCGGCTGGAGTGCAATGGCGCGATCTCGGCTCACTGCAACCTCCGCCTCCTGGGTTCAGGCAATTCTCCTGCCTCAGCCTCCTGAGTAGCTGGGATTACAGGCATGTGCCACCATGCCCAGCTAATTTTTTGTGTTTTTAGTAGAGACGGGGTTTCACCATGTTGACCAGGATGGTCTCGATCTCTTGACCTCGTGATCCACTCGCCTCGGCCTCCCAAAGTGCTGGGATTACAGGCTTGAGCCACCGCGCCCGGCCTAAAACTCCGTTTCTTAACGTAAATTCTTTACCAGTTAAACTATAAAATTTGTTAGCCCCAGCAAATGATTCTCCACCCACCAATGCATTCGACTTAATGACAGACATATTTTTAAAGTACACTTGTTTATAAAGTATCTCATAAGGTATACTACATAAAGTATAGCACTTGCCAAAATATACTTTTAAAATACCAAAGTGCCTAAGAAAAAAATTGACTATTTGCTCTTTAAAGGAATAGGACAAATAAATCTTATTCAGAAATTCACACATGCCAAATTGATAGTAGCACTGCAAAACAAAGAGAAAGGTTTCTGATTTCATAAATCAATCCACAGCTTGAAAATGAGCCATCATGTTAAACTCCAGGAAAATATAAAGTTCTTTTGTCTTTATGTTCATTTCTACCTGACACCCTCAAAATGAATTTTCATGAATTTCACATACTGGCCACAGCTGATTTTGGGCCAAAACCTGTCTCATAACTTTGTGTGTAATCTGAATATTACTTTGCTTAGGTGTCAACGCACAGTAAGTCCTCAATGAAACACGTCAAGAATTCTCCCCAATTCAAAATTATAAGAGCATCAAGGTCATTAAGATGTAATATTTTTTCTAAAACTAAAAAATTGTTTCTAAAAATTTTTTCTAAAACTAAAAAATTGAAACTCATTAAATCAAGATTATAATGTAAAATACCCAAGTATTCCAATTTTAAATCATTTTCTTAAACATGAATAATTTTAACAGATTTACATTACCATTTCTGTTTCTAAAATAAATTCCTAAGTTCCTGCTGCAACATCAGATTTAGATGTCATATAAACCCATAAGTTTAGAAACTATTGACAGGTAGACTAACTTATAAAGGTTCCCAGTAGAAGCTATGCTTCACAGAGACGGATTTTTAAAAATCTGTTTCGTTGACTGCTGTTGCATCTCCTTCACCAATGCCTTGCCGTACTTGGCACACAGGATTTGAAGTAACATTTGCTGGACTGAAAAAGAGCATCTGTGTGAAGACCGCTGGTACAAAGCAAGACTGAAACCACCTGTAGGGATCCCCCTCCCCCACCCCTGCCCCCACCCCCGCCCCCATGAGAAAACCTGGAGCAAGCCCCTGTGGGCGGGACACAAAACGACCCCAAGAATGAAGGAAAGGAGACGAAAACTCAGGGGGAATGACCTCACACTCAAGTCTTCATACACTGCCCAAATGTGTTCATTTTGTTGCAGTGTCTAAAACCCCACCAATTGAGAGAGACTCCTTTAGGTTAAGAAATCTCCCCTTTTCAGAACTAAGGAACCATTTAAATCTTTCAACAATCTAAAAAGATAGACACTTCATCATTCCATTTTACCGATGAGGAAACTGAGGCTAAATGGCAGAACTGCTTTTCCAGTGTCACACAATATAAGCAGAGTTCAGGCCTGACTCAGAACCTTTAATCCTACAATGCTGCCACCACAGTGAGAGAGGAATAGGACTAACCAATACACATGAGCTAGTTACCAATAGCCTTCTACTGAAACACCTAAAACCAGCTTTCTTAAACATGGGGCTTTTGTTTGGGGTGACAAGCAGGCAACAAGTAGTTGAAGCACATGAACACTTGGAAGGAAGGATCTGAAGTTCAGACCATGGATTTGGGGTGCTTGAGGGAACCAAGCCTCAAAGACAAACCACAGATTTCACAACACTGCAGAAGGCCAGCTCTTGCTCCAGAACAGCTTGCCTCTCTCTCTTCCTCTTTTCTACCCTTCCACGTGACCCTCACGGTTCTCCCCACTAGAAAAGAGGCTACCATTGTTAGTGTCAGAGTCTGGCAACACTATGCATCTCAACCACAGTGACTGGCACAGAGCAGGAACGCAAATATTTACTGAATGAACCCAAGACAAAAGTTGTTTCTACAGCGAAGCTGGGACCCTAATTGCCGTTTTTAACACAGTGGAGATGAGAAATGCACCTTAAGCACCTGATTACTGGTGTAAAACGGCGTTTTAAAAGCCCAGTCTGAGCTGGGGGACAGGCTACTGTAAGGCCTTATGTGATTCTTTTTTCCCAGCCAGACTGTCTCAAAGAAGAAAACAGCTTAGCACTTTGGCATACAAATATAGACCTCAGAGGGGCATGATATGTTAGTATTTTGAGTGTAAAAACAAACCATTACTTTATTTAGGTTGCCTACTTTAGGTCATCCTAACATGAACAGCAGTTTAGAAAAGAAAAATCCCCTCTCAGCATTCTCAGGGTGACAATGAGGGTTGAGATATTAGCAGATATTTTCCAAAAGTTCAAAGTGGGCCCAAAACCAAAAAATCATTTTCCATGATGTGGAAAACGTTTCCTTCAAACCATGACCAATAATTTAAACAAATACATGTTTACACCAAATAATTAACTAAACAAAGCCCATGTTTATAGGAAAACATGACGCTAAGCCAAATGGTTTCAAAGACAATTCTTGAAAATTTTACCTATTTCCCTTTTGGTCGGCACCCGTGACCTGAAAAGCCTTGACTAGTAGTTCCGATTAGTATCAGAGCCTCATAATGTGACATTTTCAGGCGTCAAATTACAGTTAAACTACTAGAGCAAGAACAAGAGCCAAAAGCAACAGGGAAGATGTCCATTTTCCTTTTACATCCCCGCCCTCTCCCCCACCCCCTGTTACCACTTAAGAATAACGGCAGGTTTTTATATTAGAAAAGGGCCTCAACCTTTGCAATCTAGCGCGGCGTTCCGTGATTTCAGGAACAAACCTGCCGCTGCCAAAATACAGGCTGAGATATCCTCCCCACGAATTAGTTTTGCGCTCTCGCACCACCTCCTTTGTCTACGCTGTCCCTGCAAACTCCGAGCTCAATGCCCTCCAGCAGACGAGCTGCCTGAACGCACAGACGACCGTTCCAAGTCTTTTTTTTAAAGAAGGGGAAAACCCAATCAAGCTCCCGGAGCCTGGTTCCCACGGGAGCAGGCCGGTCTGGCCACGACAGAAGCTTCGACCCTGGCAGGGGCCGTCGGCCGGGCAGCGAGCAGCGGGCGAGCCAGGGCCGGGGACCCCAGCCCCGCCGCCTCCGCAGGGCGCAACGACTGCCGCCCGCGGCGCTCAGGCCGCCGGCGCCGGCCCGGCACTCACCTCCGTGGAGCGGCAGCGGCGCCAGCACCTGGCCGCGGACCTCGGCCTTGGGCGAGTCCAGCCCGTAGCGTCCGCGGTCGATGCGGAACGTGAGCGGGGCGCCGCGGCCGGGCTCCTGCACCGTCACGTTGATGAGCGCCGTGTAGTACTCCTGGCTCGCGTTGTCCGCCCGCACGGGCCACAGGCTGCAGGTCAGCAGGGCGAGCGCGGCGAGCCGGGCAGGGCCCGCCCGCCCCGCGCAGCTCATGGTCCCTCCGGCCGCCGCCGCCGCCGCTCGCGGACCGGGCTCCGGAGCCGGCGCCGAGAGGCGGGGCGGGCGCGGCCCGGACTGTGGCGGGAACGCGCGCGCGCGGCCCTCCAGGGCGCCGCGGTCCCGCCGCTCGCCGCCCTGACGTCCGCGGCCGGCCCGTGGGGACGCGCCCATGGGCTCCAAGCGAGGGCGGCAACTCAGGTCGCACGCGGGCGTCTCTTCGGGGTCCCGGGAGGGCCGTCGGGGCGTACCCCCTCCATAGCCCCGGCTCGGTCTCGGCGAATGGGAGGCGCCTCGCAAGGACGCGGCGGGGGCGGGGAAGGGCGGCCCGGGAGGAAGCGCCCGGAGGAGGGTCAAAAGAACACCAAGTCTGGTTCGCGCGGCTGCCGCCTGAGGCGCGTCCCCGCGGCCGCCGCGCCCCCCGCCCCCGCCGGCCTGGCGGCAACGCGCAGGCCTGAGGCGCAGCCCCGCCCCGCGCGCATGCGTGAGAGCGCCCGTAGGCTCCCGCCCGCCCGCACGAGGGCCCGGGTGGCGGGGTCATCCGCTCGCGCCGGCCGTTTCCCCTCCAGGCCTTGTAGCCGCGGGGACTGGAGCCCGGGAGCTCTCTGCCGGGGCGTGTGGAAATGTGTGACAACAGACGACAAAAGAAAAAAGCTATAACTTTAAAATAAATTTCTAAAATGAAATGTCATGAGATGTCACATTCCGGCGGGTCCCCTGCAAGTCCTGCAGCTGACATCATGGATGCGGGATGTCTCCGGCCCGGATCTGCAGGGCACTTGAGGGGCTGGGAAAGACCTCTAGAGAAGCGGCCCCTGACCTTTTTGGCACTGGGGCACCGGTTTCCTGGAAGACAGGTTTTCCAGGGACTGAGAGGAGATGGGACCGAGCCGCTTCAGATCACCAGGCGTTAGACTCTCTTAAGGAGCGTGCACTAGATCCCTCGCACGCGCAGTTCACAACTGGGTTCGCGCTCCTATGAGAATCCGATGCCGCGCTGATCTGACGGGAGGCGGAGCTCATAGCTCAGGCCGGTAATACTCGCTCATCTACTGCTCACTCACCGGTTCCTCGAAGGCCCTGGGCCGGTGCTGGTCCGTGGCCGTGGTGGGGAGGGGGGTTGAGGAACCCCTGCTCTAGTGACTAGGTGAAATACTCCGGGACCAGAGGCTGCCTGAGAACCCCTCTTCCCAAGCGCGCACTCGCGCGCGCACACAGTCTCTCTCTCTCTCTCTCTCTCTCTCTCTCTCTCTCTCTCTCTCTCTTCCTCCTCTCTCTCTCTTCCTCCTCTCTCTCTCTCTTCCTCCTCTCTCTCTCTCTTCCTCCTCTCTCTCTCTCTCTTCCTCCTCTCTCTCTCTCTTCCTCCTCTCTCTCTCTCTTCCTCCTCTCTCTCTCTCTCTTCCTCCTCTCTCTCTCTCTTCCTCCTCTCTCTCTCTCTCTTCCTCCTCTCTCTCTCTCTTCCTCCTCTCTCTCTCTTCCTCCTCTCTCTCTCTCCCTCCTCTCTCTCTCTTCCTCCCTCCTCTCTCTCTCTCTTCCTCCTCTCTCTCTCTCTCTTCCTCCTCTCTCTCTCTTCCTCCTCTCTCTCTCTCTCTTCCTCCTCTCTCTCTCTTCCTCCTCTCTCTCTCTTCCTCCTCTCTCTCTCTCTTCCTCCTCTCTCTCTCTCTCTTCCTCCTCTCTCTCTTTCCTCCTCTCTCTCTCTCCCTCTTCCTCCTCTCTCTCTCTCTTCCTCCTCTCTCTCTCTCTTCCTCCTCTCTCTCTCTTCCTCCTCTCTCTCTCTTCCTCCTCTCTCTCTCTTCCTCCTCTCTCTCTCTTCCTCCTCTCTCTCTCTTCCTCCTCTCTCTCTCTCTCTCTCTCTCTTTTTCTCTCTCTTTCTCTCCGACCCCCACCCATCTCTTCCCTGTCCTCCAAGGCGGTTAAAAGATACATCGCTCTAAAGTATCAACTAAAAGGAAGAATGGGGCTTGTTGGCAGTGCAGCTGAATTCAGGAACTTACAGGATCTCTGTGGGGAGGCGGAGAGTGAAAGTTTGGCCTCTTCTAACCGGCCAGGGTTGAGTCTTCTGTCTCCTATAGCGCGTAGTGCGTGGAGTCAGCTTTGCACAAACAAGTATCCTGAAAATCCGGAAGAGAGGTAGCTCTCCACCAAAAATCTGAGGCACTGTTTCCAGGAAAGGGTATGGATGCAGTGCAGGCTAAAAGTTAAGATGTCCACTCCTGGCGAGGCACAGTGGCTCATGCCTGTAGTCCCAGCACTTTGGGAGGCCAAGGCGGGTGGATCACGAGGTCAGGCATTTGAGATCAGCTTGGCCAACATGGCGAAACCCTGTCTCTACTAAAAATACAAAAATTACCTGGACGTGGTGATGCGCACCTATAATCCCAGCTACTCGGGAGGCTGAGGCAGGAGAATCGCTTGAACCCAGGAGGCGGAGGTTGCAGTGCGCCAAGATTGTGCCACTGCACTCCTGCCTGGGCGACAGAGCAAGACTCCATCTCAAAAAAAAAAAAAAAAAAAAAGATGTCCACTACTGACGTCTTGGTGACATCCTTAACAATTTCTCCCTCCATTGCCCTCTCTTCCACCCTCTACCATAGTCATTATAGACCATGCCCTGGCCTATGGCGAATGGCTTTTACTTATTTACTTATCCTCAGCAAGTACAGCCCCTAATATGGGGCCCTGGGCCTGGCACCTAAAGAGTGCTCTGATCTGGTCCCCCTCCAGCTGGGCCCTTCATAGGGCAAGGAGTCGTTGGTGCCAAGGTATCCATGCTCTAGCACCTAAGACCTAGAAATTCCTTGCCCCCACAGCCCCGGGCCACATCTAGGGCCTGTATAGGACTCTTCCTGGTGAGGATCGCCTTCTCATCTTTCTGGGCATGACCTGGCCTACCCCCTGCCCAAGAGGCTCATGGCCTCTACTCCTTTGTCCTTACCAGGGAGGATTCTTCAAACTGTAAAGTACCCATGACCCCTGGCACAAAAAAACAATTGTAGAAGCTCACAGTCACCGCTTTGTTAATCGGGTGGGGAGGAAGTGGCTCTATCTCAATCCTTCTGAATTTGTCAAGGAGAAAGTTGGTTCCAGAGCACCTTTAACACTTCCCTGGCACTTGCTGATCTCCCCTTAAAATAAAGCAAGACGAGGTCCATGCACAGCCTCATCAGGCACCAGCATGTAGGGCAACATTCACACCAGCCTGTACTGGGGAGCAGCATTGTCTTTTAAGGAGACCGTTCCTTCAGGACAAGGAACGGTCTATTACATTTGTAATAGTGATACAGTGCTACCTTTTAAAATATTGTGGTAAAATACACATAACATAAAGTCGACCATCTTAACCATTTTTAAGTGTGTGGTTCAGTGGCATTAAGTCCATTCACATCGTTGTATAACCTTCGCCATCCGTCTCCAGAGCTCTTTCCATCTTGTGAAACTGAAACTCTGTACCCAGTAAATGTTCCCCCTCCTCCAGCCACCATTCTCCTTTCTGTCTCTATGATTTGATCATTCTAGGTACCCGCATCAGAGGAATCATATAGCATTTGTCCTTTTGTGAGCAGTTTATCTTGCTTTACATGATCCTTGAGTGTCATCTCTGTTGAAGTACGTGTCAGATTTCCTCCTTTGCTAAGGCTGAATCATATCACATTGTATGTATACACCGAGTTTTGTTCAGCCATTCATCCATTCCACTGTATGTATATAACACATTTTGTTTATCTATTCATTATAGGATGCTTGTGTGTTCGGCTATTGTGAATAATGATGCTATGAACATGGGACATATAAATATCCCTTCCTGCTTTCAGTTCTTTCATGTATATACTCAGAAGTGGAATTACCAGATCTAATGGTAATTCTATGCTTAATTTTTTTCAGGAACTGCCCTACTGTTTTTTTTTTTAAATAGTAGCTGTCCTTTTTTTTTTTTGAGACGGAGTTTCGCTCTTGTTACCCAGGCTGGAGTGCAATGGCGCGATCTCAGCTCACCGCAACCTCCGCCTCCTGGGTTCAGGCAATTCTCCTGCCTCAGCCTCCTGAGTAGCTGGGATTACAGGCACGCACCACCATGCCCAGCTAATTTTTTTGTATTTTTAGTAGAGACGGGGTTTCACCACGTTGACCAGGATGGTCTCGATCTCTTGACCTCGTGATCCACCCGCCTCAGCCTCCCAAAGTGCTGGGATTACAGGCTTGAGCCACTGCGCCCGGCTTAGCTGTCCCATTTTACGTTCCCACCAACTATGTGCAAGGATTCCACTTTCTTCAGATCCTTGCCAACACTTCTCTATTTCTTAATAGTAGCCATTCCAATGAGTATTAGGTGGTATCTCATTGTGGTTTTGATTTGCATTTCCCTAATAATTAGTGATATTGAACACCTTTTCATGTGCTTATTGGCCATTTGTACATCTTTACATGATGCTATCTTTTAAAACATTTAAGAAAAAAAGTGAATTAATTAAAAGTATTGATTAAATAAAAGCAGGAGTGGTTCTATTAGACATGGCAGGTTTCACGGAGGATGCGTGCTGATGTCTGGCTCTGGCGCATGCTGACCTGTGAATGAGCTGCCCATGAACCTTTTTCCTTAATGGGGTTACTTCCCTGACTCAACCATGCACCGCATTCCCCTCCCTCTGTGTCCATTTCTTAACCTGCAATAAATCCTAGGTCACCTGTAAGATCCAGCTCAAATTCCCCTTCTCCCGAGAGCTCCAGTGGGGCCCCAGCTACCAGCCACCCACATCCAGGCCCCTTAAGGGCTTCAGTCCTTCAGGAGATCTGTCTCCTCTGTGAGCAATGTGTACCCTCCCAGGAAAGGAGACAGGGTAATGTGTGTGTAAAGCATGCTGCACAGAGCTTGGGGCTCCAGCAATCAGAGACCAAGCAGGATCCCCTGGACAGTGCTAGAAACCTCAGTGGGTTGCTCAGATTTCCCAAAGTCTAACTCCTTCTCCTCCTCTTCTTCCTTGTCTTTCTTGGATGGCACATAATCCCCAGTGATCCTAGTAAGGCCCTGCTCTTATTTCGTTATTGACGTGTTCCCTTTTATCGCTATTCCTCACTGCCATTCTTTGACCCATAGGGAACCATTTTAATGTGCTTCGTGTGTCTCTTGTTTGTGTTCTTGTGAAATGTGTGTTGTTGCTTAATGTGCATGTGCTTTTTAATTATTAAACTGTAGTGGGTTATTGATGTCATTCTGTTTCTGATCCTCTTCACCCAGCACTATATTTCTTTTTACTGTTTTCATACATTTATTAATGTGTTATATTGCAATATAACATGCATATAGTAGAGTGCAAAAATTGTATGTGTACAGCTCAACACATTCTTCATGAGGTAGAGACAGCTTTTACCCCTGGTCTAGAGATCAAGATGGAGAACATTGCT